GCAAAAACAAAACAAAAATCATTTTAAAAAAGTCAGAAACTTTGGCAATTTGCAGCTGCTGTACACATTAATTAACATTTAAATAAAGGTTTAAAAACAACTTCAGACAGTATTTGGAAATCATATCGCCGAAGACAGTTATGGCCACCGCCAACCGGGGGAGCCTCCAGTTGCTGCGTGGTCAGCAAATTTGGAAACCATCTCAATGCAACACCTGAAGGGACCTGCAGGCTGGGGCAGGCTGTGCAATATTGACAAGGTAGTAGGATTAAACAACAACAACAAAAAAGATCAGGTTTTTATCCAATGCCGCCTCATCGAAGGATTGGCGCCGATCTGTCGTTTGTGACTGTCGGTCGGAGTTTGACGGTTGCAAAGGGATTCTCGCCACTGTAATGAAGCAGACAGGCAAATTGAAGCACAGCGAGATGGGACGATAAGCTACGTTTTAATTTTTACGAAGGTGGTTTCAACCCATTTCCAGGAATGTGATTAAGGCTTTTGTGTACCTATTCTTGGCATCACCTGGCATAACAAAAGTTCCAAGTGTTGTGGTTCGTCGGCAGCCTGTGCAGACGGCAGTGGAATCGGACAGTGGGGAAGAACAGGGACCAGTCCGGGAGTCTGGAGAGGACTGAGATGAGGGTCCTGCATCCGATGCAGAGATGGGGACAGGACCATCTGGGAGTGGGGTGCAACCTCCGGAGCCTGGCAGCAGTGAGGCAGAGGAACAAGGGGAGCCTGTTCCTAGTTGTGTGTGTGTGTGTTTGTGTGTGTGTGTGTGTGTGCAGGGCTGCTAGAAGGCAAGTGCAGCTGAGACAAAAGGGGCGACTCGGGTTGGGAGGTGATTGCCCTTCCCATAAGGTATAAAGGACAGGCAAAGGTGACGAAACCTTTGCAGGAAGCAAAGTCGTTCATTCTGTTCAGATTAATCCTTGAAGCTGTGTGTGGAGTTTGTACTTCGGTTGGCTTTTTACAGTTAATTTGGCACTTTAGTTGTCAGCAATTCAAAGGAGAGAAAGGTGGGTGTTTATCTCGAGGAACTGTTTGGGACTCATTACGGGCTGGGAATGAACATAATTCCCAGCACTGAAATAAAACAGGAATTGATTTAACCGAGCGTGTGCTTAATTACGGTCTCGGAAGCTTTGGTCAGAACACCAAATAGCGCAGTCTTGGAGCGTGCTGGAATTCCTAGCATGTATATACTATTGAAACAGTGACATCTATGCTGGCTTGGGCATGTCGTGAGGATGGCTGATGGGTGGGTTCCGAAAGACCTCCGGTATGGAGAATTAGTGCAGGGAAAGCGCCCGAGAGGGAGACCAGGATATCTGCAAGAGGGATCTAAAGGCCTTGGGAATGGACATCAACAGCTGGGAAGCCTTGACCTCTGATCATTCAGCTTGGAGGCTAAAGAGACAGCCTGGCCTTCTCCAATTCGAAGAAGAGACACTTGTTCGGCAGGCTGAGGCAAAGGGACAGTCCCAGAACCAGTGAAATCCGGGGACTGGATGGGACAGACCGTATCTGTCCTCAGTGCGGAAATCCTTGCCGCTCTCAAATTGACCTTTTTAGCCACACTAGATGCTGTTCTAGGACCTCTTTTCGGAGCAGGATACCATCGTCTCTCGAGACCGAAGGTGTGATGGGCATGACAGAAGGATGCCAAGACAGGATTAAGGCCACCTGAATGGTTCTCCAAGGTGACCTCATAGAAAGATAAACCAAGGCTGGATTTTTTTTGGGGGGGGGGGTTGAGTTTGTTGCCTGTTTTCAATGATATTGCATGATTCCAACTTACCTTAGGAAAGGTGGCTTCATAATGCCGTTCATGGTAGGTTTCTGAGGAAGGAAAGAAAAGTCATAATCGCTGAGTACGGAAGAAAAGGAAGGCCATCCGAAGAAAAGGAATAAGCAGGAAGGGGACTTTAAATGTCTGATTAAGCACGTTGGGGAATCGGGAAATGTATGGACTTCAACTCCCAGAATTCCCCAGCCAGCATGTCGGGGAGCCTCAAGCAGAGGTGGTGTTCAGCCGGTTCTGACCGGTGGAAATTTTGAGTAGTTCAGAGAACCGGCCAATGCCGCCTCTGACTGGCCCCGCCAACCCCATCTCTTCTCTGCCTCCCATCGAGTCCCAGCTGATTGGCTGGTTCTCCTTTGGTTGCCCTGCACAGGAGAACGGAGCTGGAAAGCAGGTTAGTGGGGTGGGGAGGGAATGGGGATTTTGCAGTATATCTTTCCCTTGCCACGCCCACCAAGCCACACCCACAGAACCGGTAGTAAAAATATTTGAATCCCACCACTGTGTCAGTGTTCCAGCATACCTGAAATAGTATGGACTTCAACTCCCAGAATTCCCCAGCCAGCATGTTGGGGAGCTTAAAGAAGTGTAGATTTCAACTCCCAGAATTCATGGCTGGTTGGGGAATTCTGGAAGTTGGAAGTCCACACATTATGAAGTTGCCAAGGTTGGAAAACCTTGACTTAAAACAGCCACACTCTCAACCACAATTTTCTAAGCCTCTCCTGGTTGTAATCCCTCCACTTGGTCATTCTACGCTAAAAACTTCGTAGTTTTACTTTATTTCGATCTATCAATGCAGTATTTTTTTAAAAAATTTCTAGTTTAGACTGATCGATCTTAGTTTTAGGAGCAAAGGAAGCAATAACTGGAACAAACTTTGCAGGATGATCTCTTGTAATCATTTCTGACTTTAAAGAGAGGCGCCTCCTGCATAAGTAATCCCTGTTTTGAATAACGAGGGTGTGATTCAGGGAAATTGACTCATCACAGTGGCTTATGAATTCAAAGAGAGTCAATTTCCTCTTGCTAATTTCATATATTCCACTTTCACTGAGGTCTAAACTGCAATGGCTCCTCGAGACCAGAAGGTGGCACTCCAGCTTCCCCGTAAGACCTAAGCATTGTTGCTGGAGTTTTCCTTTGGATCCCTGTTTTTCAGACGGAAGTGATAATAAATTAACTCTATGAATCAAGGCCTAAAATGCTTTCGGTACTTTTCAACTGCAAAACAACCTCATTGTTTGAAAAGGGGCAAAAACTGCTGAAAGAATCCAGGTGTTTACAAGTGCCGTTATTTAGTGCCTGCTTTCCAGTCTGACTTACAGTGGCTTCCCTGGCTGGTTAATAGCACGTAACTCTTGAGCAAGCAGGAATGACAGTATCTGAACTTACAAGCCTTTTCTCGGCCGCTGATAGGTCTCCTTTGTTCAAAACCCTGAAATATCATTTGAAATGTTTAAAACTGAATCTGAACCAAATACCTGTCCTTTGCTGTGTGCAACACAAAAGTTTAAAGCAACTTTTTAGCTCTCCACGGTGAGCTCTGATTATACCAACACTGGACCGGTATGATTGACACAGTGATGGCGAGTTTGTGAAATGCCATTGAAACAAGGAACGGATTCCCCTCCCATCAATTATAGGTAGTCCTTGGCTTACAACCACAAATGAGCCCAGAATTTATGTTGCTAAGTGAGAAATATGTTAAGTGGGTTGTGCTCCATTTTATGACTATTCTTGCTGCATTCGTTAAAACTGAATTTCATCACCATCATTTAACGATCCCGTAATTCCTTGTCTGGGCAACTGAATGGAGCTAGCAGAGAGTTTTAATGGCTGGATGCCTTTCCTGTCACCAGTGCCGAGTTTTGTTCAGCAGATCATACTCTCATTTTGCCCAGAGAGAGAACTATCTGCCTTAAACTGAATTGCAGTTGTTAAATTAGGAATTTAATTGTTAAGTGAATCTGGCTTCCCCATGGACTTTGCTTGTCAGGAGGTCACAAAAGATGATCACATGACCCCACAGGACATTGTAACTGTCATAAATGTGAGTTATTTGCCAAGCATCTGAATGTAAATCATGTGACCATGGGGGTGCTGCAATGGTCATAAGTGCGAAAAATGGTCCTAAGTCACCTTTTTTCAGTCCTGTTTTAACTTGAAACAATCACTAAAGAACTGTTGTAAGTCAAGGATGACCTGTAAATACTGAAATTTAAAAGAACGATGTAACTAGCAAGTTCAAAAAGTTTTAAGTTCAGCCTGGCATTACTCGGATAGCTGGATAAAACCAGTGGTGGGATTCATTTTTTTTTTTTTACTACCAGTTCTGAGGGCGTGGCTTGGTGGGCGTGGCAGGGGAAGACACTGTAAAATCTGTAGTCAGAGGTGGGATTTTCCAGTTTTCTGAGCTACTTAAAATTTGCAGCTACTGGTTCTCCAGAACTGGTCAGAACCTGCTGAATATACCACCTCTGGATTAAACCCGTCAGCAAAACTATTTTCAAAAGCTGAGGGTTTTTTTTTTATATATAACAAAACTGGTCGGTCTACTCACAAGAGATACGCTTTCTCCTTGAGCTGCTATAGTTTTAGAAGTTTCAAGTTTTGGTTCTGAAGCTGGTTTGGTTGGCCCAGATATGACATAATCTGGTGGGGGGAGAATGGGGCTTTCTCTGTTGGTCAAGTTGACTGAGCTGACACTACGGATGGGCGCAGGGCTAAAAGAAAAGAAAACCACTGTTAATAACAATAGCACTTAGACTGATATACCACTTCATAGTGCTTGATAGCTCTCTCTAAGTGGTTTACAAAGTCAGCCTATTTTCCCTCAACAATCTGCCTCCTCATTTTACATACCTCAGAAGGATGGAAGGCTGAGTCAACCTTGAGCCGGTCAGGATCGAACTCCTGACAATAGGCAGACTTAGCTTGAAACACTGCATTCTAACCACTCTGCCACTATGCCTTCCTTTCCTTTCCTTTCCTTTCCTTTCCTTTCCTTTCCTTTCCTTTCCTTTCCTTTCCTTTCCTTCCCTTCCCTTCCCTTCCCTTCCCTTCCTTCCAAAGCAATAGCATATACCGCTTCACAGTGCTTTGCAGCCCTCTCTAAACTCTTTACAGAGTCAGCCTCCTGCCCCCAATAATCTCGCTCCTCATTTTACCGACCTCGGAAGGCTGGAAGGCTGAGTCAACCTTGAGCCGGTCAGGATCGAACTGCTGGCGGTTGGTAGAGTCAGCCTGCAATACTGTACTTTAACCACTGCGCCACCAGGACTCCATAGCCCAACCAGAAGCAACAGATTCTTCAGCTCGGTTCTCAAAAGAGCTTCTACGCCAACCCACCATTACCTTGGCACCGGAATGCGCACGGTCTCTTCTGATGGACCTTCGAAGGGCGTTGTGTAAGAGGATGGGAACCAGCCTTTCCTAGAAGGCAACGTTGTAATAAATTACTGCTTTGAACAAACCTGGCTGTATACCATAAGAGAAGACATTTGTGGGATCCTTGGTGCTCTCTGAGCTTGCTTCTCCTCCTCCTCCTCCCAATCCCCACCCTGTTGTTTTTATGTCCTCAAGTTACTACTGATCATTCAGCGATCGTTCAAAGTTACAATGGTGCTGAAGGAACAGACTTATGAGCAGTGGGGGGGGGGGGGTGATTCATCCAGTTTGTGCCGGTTCACACGAACCGGTTGTTAAGTTACCCAAGCCCCCATGATCAAAGGGGATCCTGGTTGCCGCGCTGCAATGCAGAAACGGGCACCAGAACGGCTGGTGCGTTCTGTTCCTCCTTCCCTCTGCTCCTCCTTCCCTCTGTTTCCCGTTTCTCCATTGAGGCATAACGCCCAGGATCTACTTTGATTGTGTGTGTGTGTGTGGGGGGTGTAATTTAACAACCGGTTTGCCCCATGTTCAGGTTGGCCATCGCGAGAGGCTTGTCCCACCTGTGTTGTGGTTCACCGGCAGCCTGTGCAGACGGCAGTGGAGTTGGACAGTGGGGAAAAACGGGGACCAGTCTGGGAGTCTGGAGAGGACTCAGATGAGGGTCCTGCATCCGATGCAGAGATGGGACCAGGACCATCTGGGAGTGGGGTGCAACCTCCAAAGTCTGGCAGAAGCAAGGCAGAGGAACAAAGGGAGCCTGTTCCTAGTGTGCGTATGTGCAGGGCTGCTAGAAGGCAAGAGCAACTGAAACAAAAGGGGTGACTCGGGAGTAAGGCCGGGAGGTGATTGCCCCTCCCATAAGGGATAAAAGACAAGCCAAGATGATGAAACCTTTGCAGGAAGCAAAGTCGTTCATACTGTTCGGATTAATCCTTGAAGCTGTGTGTGGAGTTTGTACTTCGGTTGGCTTTTTACAGTTAATTTGGCACTTTAGTTGTCAGCCATTCAAAGGAGAGAAAGGTGGGTGCTTATCTCGAGGAACTGTTTGGGACCCATTACGGGCTGGGAATGAACATAATTCCCAGCGTTGAAATAAAACAAGAGTTTGTTTTAACTAAGCGTGTGCTTAATTACGGTCTCAGGACACGTTGGTCAGAACAATGTGTGGCGGAACTGGTGGATGGGGCTGGGCCACGTCTCCCATGATAGCCAACCTGACCCTGGGAGAACCAGTTGTTAAATTCTTTGAATCCCACCATGGCTTATGAGCAGATAAGACGTTCTGAAAAGTGGTTTGGGGTAATTAATGCAAAATTTTGAGAAGCCCTGACATACACTTTGGTGACATCATGTTCTCCGTACAGCCAGCCGTCTCTTTCTTCTGATACGAGCAGCGTGATAAGGTCGCCCTGGGCGAAACTAAGGAGAGTCTCGTTATTTCCAGCGGTGTGCGGGAAGATAGTCTTCACTTTCTGACGCTTCATTATGTTCAGTCCAGTGGCCACAGAGGTAGATCGCAATAAACTGGAATCGTCTGCATAATATCACCAAAAAAAAAAAAAAAAGGAAAAGCAGACAGAAAGAGGCAGGGGAAATAAAGCATCATTAATCATGGAATGGTCCAGCAGAGAGCATCAAGCTAACAATGTGCTCCTCCGAGCTTAGTGGCCACAAAACAGAGCTCAAGATGGTTGGCCTAGCTTATGTCTGGATTCTGGCCCCTGCAGAGAGGGCTCACTCCGATGTGTTGCTTGTCAATGCAGTCCATGCTCTTCTAGGTGAAAGTCTAGTTCCATGATGGCAAACCTATGGCAATGCGTGCCACAGGTGGCACACAGAGCCGTTTGTGCTGGCATGCGAGCTGCAGGCAAACTTACCTCACTGCACATGTGCGTGCCTCACAGCTAATTTTCGGCCTTTTTTGGCCTCCCAAAGGCTTGAGGAAGGCTTCTGCAGGCTGAAAACTAGACCCGTTTCATCACTTCCGGTATTTTCGGGAAACCAGGAAGTGACGAAACGGGGCTAGTTTTTGGCCCGCAAAGCCTGCAGAAGCCTGCGGAAGCCTTCCTCAAGCCTTTGGGAGGCTGAAAAAGGCCTCAAACCGGCTGAAAATCAGCTGTGAGGCACAGTTCAGGTAAGGGGGCGGCGGGGGATGAGGGGGATTGTGCGCGCATGCGTAGGGGGCGTGGTGGGGTAGATTGCCTTCTGGTGCTGGCACGCAAGCACGAGTGTGCAAGCACATGCACAATTTTTGGCACAGGAGCCCAAAAAGGTTAGCCACTACTAGTCCAGTTTAAATTCAGCACTTCTTCCCCAAATCTAATTTATCTATCTAGCTACCTACCATCCATCCATCATCTCTTGTTCTCCCTCCCTCCTTTCCTCCCTCTCTTTCTCTTTCTCCCCTTACCTGTTGCATTGCTTAATTTCTCGGAAGAGGTCTTTGGTATGACAGGTGGGTTGTTGAACATATCAACTAAAGGGCTGGTGTAAGCTCTCCCCGGAGGGGCTGGGGGCACCTTAGGAGAATGCCTTCGGAGGGAATCATAATTATTTCCAACCTGCCGACCAAAAGGTAAAGCGTCAATATTGTGAAACAGTGCACAGAGGCATGAATAAATACTAGCGATTTTATTGGCTTATCCAAATTGAATTCTTTCCTTTGAAAAGTTTTTTCCTTAATTAGATTCACTTGCTGGTTTTCCAGGTTGATTCTATCCCAGAATATACGGAAGCTCCGCTCGGGAATGAATGCAAACGAGATTATATTTGGAGGGTAAAAATTAGGGGCACCGGTGCAATTTGAGACATTCATAAAGTAACAGGTGTGTTCCTGTGGGGAATTTAAGGTGCCTGACTAGAGACCGGGAGATGGTGAGTTCTAGCCCCGCCTCAGGCATGAAAGCTGGCTCAATGACTTTGGGCCAATCACCAGGAGACGGTGAGTTCTAGTCCCGCCTTAGGCATGGAAGCTGGCTCAATGACTTTGGGCCAATCAGCAGGAGACGATGAGTTCTAGTCCTGCCTTAGGCATGGAAGCCAGCTGGATGACTTTGGGCCAATCACCAGGAGACAGTGAGTTCTAGTCTTTCCTTAGGCATGGAAGCTGGCTCAATGACTTTGGGCCAATCACCAGGAGATGGTGAATTCTAATCCTGCTTTAGGCCTTCTGGGTGAGTTTGGGTCAATTACCAGGAGAGTGGGAGTTCTAGTCCCACTTTAGGCATGAAAGCCAGCAGGGTGACCTTGGGCAGTCCCTCTCTCTCAGCCCAACCCACCTCACCAAGTTGCTGTGGGGAAAATAGGAGGAGGAAGGACTACTGTGTATATTATGTTTACTGATCATAAAAGTAATAAACTTGGGATAAGCATCTAATGAATAAATATGGGTGGTGTTTGAATTGTACACTTGCGTCCACCAGGTTGGACTGCCTGTCTCTCTCTCTCCTCTACTCAGCTCCTCAGGTGAAATGGGAATCTCACCAGGTTGTTCCTCTCTATCATTGGGGAAGGCAGGGGAGTCCCCGATATCGAAACGGATCCGGTTGACTTGATCTCATCGATCATATTCATGACGGTCTCTGGAACCTTGGTGGCATCGCTGCAGGTTTCCAACCACGCTGGCAACTTGGTGGCAAGTATCTCTGAGCACTACAGGGAATCCGAGGAAAATATAAATTTAAGAACAGAATAACAGAGTTGGAAGGGACCTGGGAGGTCTTCTAGTCCAACCCCCTGCCTAGCCAGGAAACCCTATACCATTTCAGACAAAGGGTTACCCAATATCTTTTTAAAAACTTCCAGTGTTGGAGCATTTTCACAACTTCTGAAGGCTGTTCCATTGATCAATTGTTCTCACTATCAGGCAATTTCTCCTTAATTCCAGATTGCTTCTCTCCTTGATTATCCCCCCGTCGCTTCTTGTCCTGCCTTCGGGTGCTTTGGAGAATAGCTTGACTTCCTCTTCTTTGGGGCAGCCCCTGAGATATTGGAAGACTGCTATCATATCTCCCTTAATTTCATAGAGAACCAGAAGAAGAAGATGCTTCTCTCAAGCAAATCTAGGAATTGGCTACGGTTTGGATGACAATTTTGTTTCGTGGCGGCAAATGTTTAGAGATGCCTGTTTTGGGTGTACTTGGGATACAGCATTCACATGACCACCACCACCCCCCCCCAAAAAAAAAAAAAAGATAAGATGTTGAGACTTTGGAAAAAAGGCAGAGAAGATGATCAAATGCCTGGAGACTAAAACCTATGAAGAACGGTTGCTGGATTTAGGTATGGATAGTGTAGAGAAAAAAAGGACCAGGGAGCACATGAGAGGAGTCTTCCAGTGTTTGAGGGGATGCCCCAAAGAAAAGGGGGTCAATTTATTCTCCAAAGCACCAGAAGGCAAGATGAGAAGCAAAGGATGGAAACTAAACAAGGAGAAAAAACAACCTGGGACTAAGGAGATATTTCTTGACAGTGAAAAACCATGAAACAGTGGAACAACTTGCCTCTAAGAAGTTGTGAGTGCTTCATCCCTTGTGGTTTTTAAGAAGAGACTGGACAGCCACTTGTCTGAAAAAGGCCCTCCTGTTTGAGAAAGGGGTTGGACTAGAAGACCTCCAGGGTCCCTTCCAGCTCTATTTTGATTGATGGACACAGGTCCTTCTCCCACAACTCACCTCCACATGGTAATGGAACAGGCGTTGAGCAAAATTGCAGTGCTTGTCCACCAGGAAGCAAAACCTTTTCTTCTCTTCAAGCAAGGCCTCTCTGCAACCCTCCGCAATAAATCTTTGGATATCGCTCTGCCGGGAGCTTACGGTTTCCAAATACTAGATAAAGCATGAAAATACCAGATTCAGACAACCACGCACACAAATCTTGCGCTATTTAAGATATTTCCAGCCATATTTTCTAGGAAATCCCATCTCAAGTCAACAGTCCAATAATGAAACTCTCATTCTCATTCTCTCTTTCTCATCTGTCTGTCTGTCTGTCTGTCTCTCCATTATTTCATTTTATATGCCATCCCTCTCATCCAGCTGTAAAAAAGTGTGGAAACAATTAAAATCACAACTGTGCAACGCTAAATAAAAACTAGAACCAATGAAACGGACGGCACATTACATGTATTAAAATAGTAAGGAGTAGCAAAATAAAAACAACTCAGTATTCTTCCAATATTCAGGCCTGGGAAAGAGGGATTCTTGTACAACTTGAGTTTAATGGCAGCTTCAAACTTTAATTTTTTTCTCAAATAGAACTGCGGCAGTCTAGTCACATTCTGCCACTCTGTATCAACACGCACAAATATCATTTATCTTCCAACGCATATATTCCCTTGATAAGGCTGCCAACCTACACAATAGCCAATTAATTTTTCCAGGACTGGAAGATTATCTGTTGACATGAAGAAAGGCGATAAATATTCTTGCCACATCATGTCAAGAGACTAACTTTATTCCCCAACAAGTTTAAAAAAAAAAATCTTTCTTAAGGCACTTTGGGATACTTCAAGGAGAAGAAAACAGGTTTGAATCCAGGTTATATGTGAATGGATGTCAAGAATTCACTTCTCCTTCCCACTTTGGTTGAGCTTAGTATAACGGAAGGTGAAGGTGAATGTTAATTGTTGGTCATCTGTGTAAATGAAGAGCAGAAGTCAAAATACTCGTGCTGTGCATGTTCAAAGAATCCTTTGCTTTTCTGAAAATAATCTCAATATCAATTCATAGTGTTACAGGTAATCCTCAATTTACGGCAGTTCGTTCAAAGTTACAGCGGCACTGGAAAAAGTGACTTATGACCATTTTTCACACTTTCGACTGTTGCGGTGTCCCCATGGTCACGTGGTCAAAATTCAGGTGGCTGGCAACTGACTCATATTTATGATGATTGCCGTATCCCTGGGTCACGTCTCTTTTGTGACCTTCCGACAAGCAAAGTCAATGGGGCAGCCAGATTTATTTCACAGTCGAGTTATTCACTTAACAAAGGTGGCAATAAAGGTCGTAAAATGGGGCAAAGCTCACTTATCCAATGTGTCACTTAGCAACATATATTTTGGGCTCAATTGTGGTCGTAAGTCAAGGACTACCTGTATTAACACTGAAGAGGAACATTAATACGAAAGGTTATTTATGTAAGTAACAGCATGAATAACACTAAATTGTGGTGTGGTGGCCTAGAGGTGGAGCTCCCGGCTCACAATCAGGAGGCTGTGAGTTCGATCCCAGATAGAGGCAGAGATGTCTCTCTCTGGGCGCACTGAGAATATATCAACAAAACTCCGCATTGGTGACAGGAAGGGCATCCGGCCAAGTAAACACTCCAAACACTCATTACAAAAGGCTCGGCCTCTTTAAAAGTTACAGGGTTTGAATTTTAACAAGCATGAAGTAAGCTTGACTTAACGTTCAAACTAATACGGGAAGGAAACTTGAGTCAAGGTGAAGGTACCAACCTCGGATTCTCTGTGTTCGTATTTAATGGCGTTCCGTCCCCCTTGGCTTTTCCGCCTGATTTTTTTCAGTTCGGCCTGAGATTTTTCCAAAGAATCTAATTTGCTTCGGTGTTCGGTTTGGTACCTCTTCAGAGTAGCCTGTAAGGAGAAAGTTCACAGAGGTATTTTTGGAAAGAAGTCCGTCGGGAGGTTGGGAATCTGGTATCCACGGGTTCCTACTTAGGGGAGGAAAGCTGACGACGTCATGCTAAAAAAAAAATATAGGAGCCTGTTCCCTACTGTTCTTCAACTGTAGGGAATAACAGCATTATTATAGTTATTATAGTTTATTAGGACATGCTCCAACCCGTTGAAAAATTACGAGAGGAACATGCATGAGAAAACAGAAAAATAGAAGTCAAGAAACTGTTCACAGAAAACTGGAGGTTCTTCATATCTCTTGCTGCCTTCTTTTATTTTATTTTTATGCATGGCGATATTCTCTCACCTTTTAGATCAAGGGTCTTCAAACTTGGCAAGTTTAAGACTTGTGGACTTCAACTCCCAGAATTCCTGAGCTAACAGGATTGGAGGAGGAATTTTGGGAGTTGAAGCCCACAAGTCTTAAAGCTGTCAAGTTTGAGGACCCCTGTTTTAGATGATTTCTAACTGGAAAAAAGGCTTTGGTTGACATCAAAGCAGGAGAAGGTTTGGCAGAAGGAACCAGCAAATGAATCCACAGCTTCTTCCAAGTTAAAACTATATTAGGGGGGTCCTTGGAGCTCTCTGAACTGGGTTGTTTTCTTGCAGAGGTTTCATGACTCAACAAGGTGACATCATCAGTGCTAGCATAAAACTATGTTACTCACAACAGACTAAATTCCTAGATTTTACAGAGGTTGGGGAAGGAAGGTTGATGGTCATCTCAGAGACATGACTGATTTGTGGCTGCTATCAAGAAACTAGCAAATTCTTACATGTAATCTTCTCAGGCACTTAAAAAAAATAAATAATACACTTACATTCATATATTTTACATCTAATTCGGTTTTCTTCTCCAGCTCCGATATAATTTCTTTATGGAATTTCTTGAACTGTAGTCATGAAAAATTGACAGAAAGGTGAGAAGGTTAGCATATCTTCATAGGAAAATATGCGTATAATATTTTAAAGCACTGTGGGCAGATTTACTTACGTTTTCTTCTAGCTTGTCGTTGAGTTTCTTTTGAGCGATAGAAATCTCAATGAGGACGTGGCCTGTTGACAAACAAGATTAAATTTTATTTCTGGTTCCTTGGGCCCTTCAAACAAAGGGAGAAGGGCAGCACAAGTCAAATATCTTGATTTCTTTTTCAAATTCCTTGCCAAAAACAATGGAAGAAACTTTGTAGGAATCCGGCTTTGGTTATAAGGAACTGGGTTTTTTATGTTTTGTTTTGTACATTTTATAGAGATAATCGTTCTTTATATACATTTAAAATATACACCAAAACTTCCAACTTAAAAAGACCCTATATATCTGCTTTCTTATAGCTCTTTATTTTATTTTAAAAAAGCTAAAATGCAAAATCCCCCCAATTCTTTTAAAGCAGAGCAAAACCGTGAGATATTAAAAAGTGCATTAAAAAACAACCACATATACACACATTATCTCCCCTAGTTGAATACTAATATATTACAACAATATTAGATTCCACCTCTTGTGAAACAGCCCCCCCATTTTTAAACTGTTAAATCATTTGGAAATTACTAACCTTTCTATATCTCTATATAATATGAAATGGTTAACAAGCAGAACAATCATAGTAGAAAAAGGCAAGATTGTTGTCTCAAAACCCTCTGTTAACCAACTGTTACTGTAATCCACACATGGACAATTTACCACGGCATCTTATCTATCTCAAATCATCACAATAATTAACAACGATTCGTAGTGGATCGAATATCCATGGACTTTTTCATGAGTTTGTAGAATTATAGAATAGAGCTGAAAGGGGCCTTGGAGGTCTTTTAGTCCAGCCTGCTGAAAAAACAGGAGAATCTAATCAATTTCAGATAAGTGACAGTCCAGTCTCTTCTTGAAAACCTCCAGTGTTGGAGCACCCACAGCTTCTAGAGGCGAGCTGTTCCGCTGGTTAATTGTCCTCTCTGTTAGGAAGTTTCTGCTAAATTCCAAGTTGCTTCTCTCCTTGATGAGTTTCCATTCTTTGTTTCTTGTCTTGCTTTCTGGAAAATAAGTTGACCCCCTTCTTCTTTGGGACAGCCCCTCAAGTAGTCAAAGACTGCTACCGTGTCTCCCCTGGTCCTTCTTTTCATCAAACTAGACATAACCCGGTCCCTGCAACCGTTCTTCACATGTTTTAGCTTCCAGTCCCCGAATCCTCTTCGTTGCTCTTCTCTGCGCTCTTTTCCAGAGTCTCAACATCTTTTTGTACATCTTGGCGACCCAAACTGGATGCGGCATTCCAAGGGGGGCTTTACCAGGGCCTTATAAAATGCTATCAACGCTTTGCCTGATCTTGGTCCAGTGCCTCTGCCTCTTCCAATTTGGGTCTAACTGGGGCACAAAGCCACTTGGCCAATGTTTTTCACTCCATGAGGCCGCCTTCAACTCAACCCATGAATCAGGACGGTTAAGCTACCCTTAGCTCGACCGCTATTAAAGTTGTCCTGATTTGACACCCTCTGACGCCAACTCAGAGAGAAAGCATGCTCTTGGCATGCTGAAGACCTTTGGCTTCGATCCCCGACAGTCGTGGGAAAGGTCAGGAGCTGCCTAGCCTCTGGGAAAAGGGTGGCCACCCAGGGTAGACCATCCAGAGCTTAAGGAGGCCATGCCCCCATCTGATTGGTTAATATACAGGCATTTTTCTCATCAATAAATCTTCCTGTGCTTTGGTAGTATTTCAAGGGACAGTATGAGAGAGTTTCGGTCTGTTAGCATTTCAGATGACACCAGAGCCTACAAAAATACAGAGACTCAAGTCAACACGCTCATTGGATGCTCTCAAAACTTGGTTGTTTCTTGGAAATGTTTCATTTCCCAGCTAGGTAATGTCTGGAAGAAAACCACCAAGCTCAGAAAGCATCAAGGACCCCACAGTCCTCCTCCTCCTCCTCCTCCTCGCACTGATGATATTACCTAGTTTGGTAATGAAACATGCAAGAAAACCACCAAGCTCAGAGAGCATCAAGGACTCCATAGTCGTCATCGTTCTCCTCTTCCTCCTCCTCCTCCTCCTCCTCGCACTGATATTACTTAGCTGGGTAATGAAACATATGCAAGAAAACCACCAAACTCAGAGAGCATCAAGGACTCTACAATCCTCCTCCTCCTCCTCCTCCTTGCACTGATGATATTACTTAGCTGGGTAGTGAAACGTATGCAAGAAAACTACCCAGCTCAGAGAGCATCAAGGACTCTACAGTCCTCCTCCTCCTCCTCCTCCTCCTCCTCCTCGCACTGATGATATTACTTAGCTGGGTAATGAAACGTACGCAAGAAAACCGCCCAGCTCAGAGAGTACCAAAGGATCCCACAGTTCAACCCTGAGCTACAGATATTGTCTTTTATTGATAGTCACAGATCTGCCACCTTTTCCCTTTCCCCCTTCCTGGAGAATTCAACACAAGACCTAACAAGTACGATTTTGTCTTTCTTCTGCTGATAACAATTCAAGAATGAGGTGAGAATGGAGATGGCATTACTTAGGTAGCTGGGGGAAAAAAAGAAAAACCTTCAACAAAAGTATTTTCAAAAGCAATGTTTTTTTTTTAAACGACCCAACCTGGTAGGTCTAACTCACAAGAGATACGCTAATCGAACTGTCGCAACTCAAGGACTACCTGTATGTCGTCTCTGCCTGAGCTCTTCAGCTCTCTTAAAACAGGACTAGCTCAACCCCTCAAGTTGCAAATGGAAACAGGAAAACAGGAGTGGCCCCGGATTACGGTTATGCCTGGAGAGGCCCCACCTATTTAAATGGGGCTTACACATCGGTTAACTACGGGAAGGATTGGAGGTGCGGTCGTCACTATCCCTTTCACACCTATCCGTAGGCAGAACGAAGCCATGGGGACACCTTTCCCCTTTGCCGTGGAGGAGCTTAACTGAAGCCCCAGTCCCGCGGAGAGCAAAGTTTGTGGAGAGTGCATGGGTTTTAAGAGCTTGTTTTTAACCTTTCCGATTACGGGTCAGGCAGTAAATGCTTTGCAGAACGTGCTGCTACAGCAACGCAACCGGCCTGGCGGTTCCCTGTTTGCAAAGATTAACATGTCAGAATCGGGGACTTAAGCAACGTTCTGGTGGTTTCTAAAAGGGCTTTGCTGTCCTCACCGCTTGCGGACGGATGTGGATACGTTCGGGAAACGAACAATGAATTTACCTGGCAGAGCAAGGTGGGGGAAAAATCCTGTCTATATACTGTTGTTTTGCTTCTGGGTGACATACAATAGCAATAGCACTTAGACTTACGGTATATACCGCTTCACAGAGCTTCCCAGCCCTCTCTCAGCGGTTTACAGAGTCAGCCTCTTGCCCCCAACAATCTGGCTCCTCATTTGACCCACCTCAGAAGGAGGGAAGGCTGAATCAACCTTGATACAAACTGATTATTGCTTTCAGAACGGCCAGTCCTCCTGAAAAATATATTTTTTTTAAAAAAAACACACTCGTAACACAATAACAGGCGGCGGGGACCTTGGAGGTGGTCTAGTCTAACCCAACTGCCCAAGCAGGAGATCCTACACAGGTAGTCCTCATCTTACGGCCACGATTGAGCCCCAAATTTCTGTTGGCTAAGCGAGAGGTTTGTTAAGTGAATTTTGCCCCTTTGTATGACCTTTCTTTGCCGCAGCTGTTAAGTGAACCACTGGAGTTGTTAAGTTAGTCTCAGAGTTTTTAAGTGAATTGTCTTTGATTGTTAGAAGGTTGCAAAAGATGACCCCATGACCCCTGGACACTGCGACCGTCATAAATATGAACCAGTTGCCAAGCATTTGAATTTTGATCACGTGACCACAGGGGACGCTGCAATGGTCACTAAGCAGACTGTTGTAAGTCGAGGATTAGGATATAACATTTCCTAAAGTCCACATCCTTCCGCGTGAATGCATGAATTTATTAAAATTATACCAAAGGCCCCCGGGGGAAACCACCTAGACTTTCTATATAACATGCAAAGCAGGATTAAACCAATCCTGCTCAACGTGTGAAATGAAACTTGACTTATTAGCGATTATTAGACTATTAGCGTTTGATTTTTTAAGCCAGCGTTTTGACTAACAAATGAATTCGTATCACATGAGCAGTTTTGAGTGTTAGGGGGATGCCTTTTCTTCCCCGCTGTGATTCAGGCCTTTATCCTTTTTTTTTTCTGTGTTGCAAGCCAAGAGGTTCAGATATTGTTCAACACTGCCTCGGATGAGCTGGCCCTGCGTTGAGAAACTGCTGAGCAGGTTAGAGCTGTCCTTCTCCTACCATGCATCCAAGAGGTAAGCTCTTAAGCACCATGGCTTAGAGTCTATTGCCCTTGAAAAAAACAGTCCCCAAAAACACGATTTACTGACTTACTGGCAATGCCTATAAATGGACCAGAAATGGATCAAGCCCCTTGATTGATCCAAGGAACGGACTCAACAGCTGGCTTGTTATCTCAACTTTGTTTTAATATTCCTATGAAAATGTGAGATTTTACTCTCAATGGAAAAAAAATAATCTATTTTGTATTGGAACAATGCTCCTGTGCTCTTTCTCTTTCTCTCTCTCTCTCTCTCCCCTTGTCTCCTCTCTTTCGCCTTCTGTCTCTTTTTCTCTCCTCTTTCTCTCTGCTTCTCTTTCTCTCCTTCTCTCCTTCCCCTTCTGTCTCTCTCCTTCTCTTTCTCTCTCCCTCTCCTTCTCTCTCTTTCTCCATTTTTGCCTTCTTTTCCCTCCTACATTCCCCTACATTGGAAACATAAAGCTCTCTGCAGCTGACCAACTTCATCTCTTCCACACCACTATTAGGGAAAGAATCTCAGCAAATATGTGGAGGTTAAAAAGACACCTTGAAGAACGGTAGAATCCCAGTTGTAGGTGGAGAAAGATTTGGGAGCGCTGGGAAAAGCACAGCACAAATGTGATAGATAGATAATAGACAGATAGATAGGCAGATAGATTGGTATATGATAAATGATAGATAGAAAATAGAGATAAAAGATAAATATATAGAAAAGCAGATTTATATATGGTAAATGAGATAGATAGATAGATAGATAGA